AGAGGTCAATAAGTGTTAGGCACCGGCAACGATAGTGGAGAGGTCAATAAGTGTTAGGCACCGGCAACGATAGTGGAGAGGTCAATAAGTATTATGCACCGGCAACGAAACTAGAGAGATCTATAAGTGTTAGGCACCGGCAACGATAGTGGAGTGGTCAATAAGTGTTAGGCACCAGCAACGATAGTGAAGAGGTCAATAAGTGTTAGGCACCGGTAACGATAGTTGAGAGGTCAATAAGTTTTAGGCACCGGCAACGATAGTGAAGAGGTCAATAAGTGTTAGACACCGGCAACGATAGTGGAGAGGTCAATAAGTGTAAGGCAACGATAGTGAAGAGGTCAATAAGTGTTAGGCACCGGCAACGATAGTGGAGAGGTCAATAAGTGTTAGGCACCGGCAACGATAGTGGAGAGGTCAATAAGTGTTAGGCACCGGCAACGATAGTGAAGAGGTCAATAAGTGTTAGGCACCGGTAACGATAGTTGAGAGGTCAATAAGTTTTAGTCACCGGCAACGATAGTGAAGAGGTCAATAAGTGTTAGGCACCAGCAACAATAGAGGAGAGGGCAATAAGTGTTAGGCACCGGCAACGAGAGTGGAGAGGTCAATAAGTGTTACGCACCGGCAACGATAGTGGAGAGGGCAATAAGTGTTAGGCACCGGCAACAATAGTGGAGAGGTCAATAAGTTTTAGTCATCGGCAACGATAGTGAAGAGGTCAATAGGTTTTAGGCACCGGCAACGATAGTGAAGAGACGATAGTGGAGAGGGCAATAAGTGTTAGGCACCGGCAACAATAGTGGAGAGGTCAATAAGTTTTAGGTACCGGCAACGATAGTGAAGAGGTCAATAAGTGATAGGCACCGGTAACGATAGTTGAGAGGTCAATAAGTGTTAGGCAACGGCAACGATACTAGAGAGATCTATAAGTGTTAGGCACCGGCAACGATACTACAGAGATCTATAAGTGTTAGGCACCGGGAACGATAGTGGAGAGGTCAATAGGTGTTAGGCACCGGCAACGAGAGTGGAGAGGTCAATAAGTGTTTGCCTTTTTATACAAACATTTTGGTGAAATTTTCAGTGCGCTCCATTTTACCAGATCTGATATTTCATGTTTCATTTTCAAAACATCATCAAATTTGAGGTGTGGATAAATCTTGAGGAGTACAATATGTACACTTCTATATCAAATTGGGTCACTGTGACCTATATTTTCTGCTTCATTGATCATGACATTGATTAGACTTACAGAGTGTTTATATTTGTATTTCTTTGGTTAGACTTGGCAGTTAGTGCTGTTTCTATCACAGCAGAATTGGGTGCAAAGATCTGCTTTACAGACATTTCTCTACTTGCTTCATGGGACAAAAACGGACAGAAACTGAAAAAAATAGTGGATGAGAATGATATTAAAGGATGAAATGTTGTCGTTCAGTTGTGGTAATGATGAGCATGGGTAATATTAACTGTATAATGTATGGTGGTCGGAAAGCTCAGTGGAAAGCGGACTTGCCTTTCACCAAGGCAGCTGGGGTTCAATTTCCCGATCGGAGGAGAAAAGGTATGCAGTCACCTGACTGACTAAGTGGGTTTTCTCTGGGTACTCCGGTTTCCTCCCACAATAAGACCCCCACATACTAACATCTGGGCTAACAAGAGTGATTAACATAGGTTAAAATAACTGGTTTCATAATTGTTGTAAAATAAAATAAATAATATATAATATTACATATGGAATAAATTGTTAATACTGGTGCAGTTTCCATGCTAATATCATCTGCTGTTCATGGGAAGTAGTTTTCTATTCTAGGATTCTAGGATCTCGCCCAGAAATCCTCCACAGTTGTAGATGGGGTATATACATAGAACTATCTATCTAAACCGGGTGGCCTAGCTTTCACACCTGCATGCAAAACCTCCAATTTTATTGGAATTTTGTTGTTTGCCCCGGTCCGTTTGATCTTTAATTATAGTTGACATGGTAAAGTGTTGACTGTTACATGCTGTCTATAGGTGGAAGTGAGCGTAGCTATGTAATCTAACCATCAGCAACTATACCAAGGAACTGGTTAAGGTAAAAGTCAGGCTTTGCCATACAGGCATATAATCCTTTCAGTTATTAATGATCATGTGTACTACCTGGCCGACACTGTTAATGGTCAGTACTGGCTTTTATGTCCAGTTCATGTGAAGATAGAGGTTAAGTACAGAATGGTCAGTTGACACATACACTTCTTGTCCAAACCAAACCCTGTGTATAGAGCATAGCAGACTTTTTTCAGGTGTATAGAACCCAAGACCAATCCTTGTCAGATTTAAAACCAGGCAGACCTAGTGAAGTTTATATTAATTAGACAGACCTAACTTGTCAGGTGTGAGAACAGGTGACAGACTTTGTCAGATGTGAAAACATGCATGAGACAGACTTTGTCAGGGGAAGAACCTGAGACTTAAGACTTTGTCAGGGGAAGAACCAGAGACTAAAGACTTTGTCAGGGGTAGAACCTGAGACCGGACTTTGTCAGGGGTAGAACCTGAGACTAAAGACTTTGTCAGGGGAAGAACCTGAGACCTAAGACTTTGTCAGGGGTAGAACCTGAGACAGACTTTGTCAGGGGGAGAACCTGAGACTAGACTTTGTCAGGGGTTGAACCTGAGACTAGACTTTGCCAGGGGTAGAGCCTGACCTGAGACTAAAGACTTTGTCAGGGGTAGAACCTGAGATTAGACTTTGTCAGGGGTAGACCCTGAGACAGACTTTGTCAGGGGTAGAACCTGAGATTAGACTTTGTCAGGGGTAGAACCTGAGATTAGACTTTGTCAGGGGTAGACCCTGAGACAGACTTTGTCAGGGGTAGAACCCGAGACATACTTTGTCAGGGGTAGAACCTGAGACTTAAGACTTTGTCAGGGGAAGAACCTGAGACTAAAGACTTTGTCAGGGGTAGAACCTGAGACTAAAGACTTTGTCAGGTGTAGAACCAGGCACACTTAAAATCAGACAGACCTTCCCAGGTATACACCAATGTCAGTACACTGGAGATAGAATCTTACATTGCTCTATACGCTTCCACTGTCTGCTGACAGTGGGCTAACTAATGGTCAACTGTGATATGTGGTCAGTTTGAACATCATCAGCTGACGTTGACAACCTTGTCTTTTATGGACATTATCTGTTATCTGACCTATCACGTTACCTGACCTTTAAGCAGTTTGTATATATGTATAGTGACCATTGCATGGTCATCTAGCCATGTCATGATGGTCCAGACAAACTAGCCCTAGGGTGACTCTGGTCATATGAATAATCAGGGCTGGTGTCCAGTACACCTGTAGCCCAGACAAACTGACCACTGATATTCCCTGTTTGTAGTTGTTGACACAGACATCCGATCACGAAATGATGGATTTCTTCTGGTCCTAACTGTGTATCGTAAGATACTTATTTATTCATAGAATGGTCAACTTTGATATTGACCACTCTAAGCTGTTGACCGAAGACAAACTAATCAATCATTTCAAATCAATTTACTGATACTTTTAAAACGTTATCATCACTTGAAATTGACCACTGATATGTTCTGAAATCGTGTGTGGTGATCGGTTGGATGTATTTGCTTAAAGGCTCGGTGTACATGGAAGATTTCTCTTTCACATATCGGAGAGTTCTGGTGGGGTTTTAGTTTTGTGTTTGGAATATAACTGGTGAATTGGTGAGTATGCTTGTTAGGGTCGAGGTCTGCAGCATCAAAGTAACAAATACCAATGTTTGTGCAGTTATGTCTGAACTGAATTTTTTTTCACTTTCCCTACCTATTTTGAGATTTTAATGTCTTGCCTTGTCTTTTTCTCTTTTTTTTTGATGAAAAAATTGTGTACTAGTTTGGGAGTCTATGTAAATGTTTATCTGCAGTCTATTTGACATTTTGTATTCATGTTTTAAATATTTCAAACTAAGTGGCACATTAAGAAAAAAGTTGAATTGAAGTTATTTCTTCATGTTATGACCAATTATAAAGAGTGTACTGATGAACCGCAAGGTATAAGGTAATAAAGAATGAATGAAAGTTTAGAATTCAAAATAGCTAGCATTTCTAAACTCGTATATTTAAGGAATAACTTATTAAAAGTCTAAAATTGTGTCTTTATGTAATAACAACGTTTGTAAAAATAATGTTCTTAGTGAAAAGTTTTGCCAGCCTTTATACCTTCCCTAATTCCATGAGAGCCAAACGTGTTGACAACAGTTATCCAGATATCTGTATATTACAGACAGAACGTTGTGCAAATTTCTTTTTTAAATGACAACAAATTGTTTGGTATATGTTTGGTGTAGACCCATGACATTTCATTGCTGTAGAGTCATCATATTCCTAAATTATAAATCAATAAAAACTTGAAATTTTACAAACATTATTTAATTTGCAATCCTACATGATACCAATAAAATAGAATGGTATTAAATCGCAATTGCTGAATAGCATGCCTGGAGACAAAAATCATTCATGGTCAGGTTTGATATTTGATATATCTTGTCTAATCTAACAGTATAAAAATGTAATAAGGCCTGTTTTGTGATCGGGCCATGCTTATTATAGATATGTACTTTTGCGGAATGTGTTATGGTGAATCCTAATTTTCCATTTGTGCACATTTCTCTGCCATTGTTCACCTTTTATTTTTTACACAAAAAAATGGAGTGTACTCTAAATAAACTGTGAAGCGGTTTATGATGAGAGTACGCTCCGTTTTTTGTGTGTTATAGCTCCATAACATGAAAAATAAATTCAAGTTAATCCTTATAATTTAATCTACTATACACAATCCCTGTGGAAATCCACTTTTATTGATGGGCTCTTTTCTCTTAGAAATTATTGCGCTGCAGTATCAGTCAATCAAAAGCGACGTTACAAACGGCGACGTCATTTTTTTTACGTAATGGGCTGATAACATAGAATTTTAAGCCAATGAAAATGCTTGTTACAAACAAGATTAAATTATATTGTTGAAATCGCAATGATGTATGTTGTTACCAGTGGTTTATAAATAATGAATTTCCCACAGGGCATTACAGACACATTGTTTTTATACCATGCAGACAAATTATTCAAAAACTGTGCATAATCTAAGCAGGTGTATAATTGTCTGTAGGCGTACTTGTACTGTCGACATTGGGCTTGCTCAGATTTCAAAAAGGACAGGAAAATCATGTTGCAAAATTCTGCATGTCTGTCCTCCTTAAAGTCTTATGTAAGTAAGGAGAAGTTGGGGGATTTTTCAGATAGCGTTGTGTCTAGAAAGGTACAGACATAAGTCATCTCGTCTTTCTGTCTGACTGTTTGTGGGCACATTCGGTTGCAGAATGTAAATGAGATTAACATGTACAGCTGTAGTACTCTTTGAACGTCAAGGACATAAATCTGACATCAGGTGCAAAAAAGCTTTTCATTTTGGGTTCAAAGGCCAAATGTCAAGGTCACTGACTTGCTTTTTCAGAT